TGTTAAAAACGCATACCCTTAACTATTCCCTGATATTTACAAAAATGTGTAAAAAAAAAAACCATTTTCAAAAAGCATTTTTGAATGCTAACTTTTAAGAAATTAGCATTTTCCAACCTATGTTTATAGGAAACTTTTTGTTCAAAAAGTAAATCTCCTATAAAATCTCCACAGTCTGACTGGAACGTCCGAGTTTATCCTGTAGATTTTTATTTTTTTATTTATTAGTGAAGATTTATTTGTTAGTGAAGATAATAATATACTTGCTATAATTTTATAATACATACAGTGAAAGCAAAAAGTATTCGTACAAGGAAATTTGTTATAAAAAAAGCATTATTTATAGAAATAAACATTAATTAGTAATTTTATACAATGAATACATTCTGTTCTAATAAACAAACGAGCTTAGCTTGTATTCCTGATTTTAGAAGCTAAATTTCTCGTCTGTACAAATACTTTTTGAGCATTGAAACAATACAATTTTTAATTTTCGTTTATTTTTTGGATAATATATTTTATATAAATTAATACACATCATTTTGGTATATATAATTTTAAGAAACATACAGTCTATTTTATTTTTTATGAATAAATTGTTAATTATCCAACAAGAAATGATTGTCGATTAATTAAACGTCTAATTGGCGTTAAAAATCATCGAATTTATATCGATTCGATATCATTTCTCCCTGAATAATATTTATTTTTTTAAAATGAAGTTTTTTTAAAAAATATTTTATTTGTGCACACTGTATATAAAAATGATCGACAAAATCGATAGATACTGATTCATCAAGAAAATAATTAAAAGTTTTTATTTATTTAAACAATTGATCGAAATCAATCACAAATATTATAATAGCATACTGTTCTATTGTTTGCTAACTGATAAAGATTGAATACATTTGGCTGTTGGTATAATATGATAAAATTTTCGCAACTACGCGTGTGAATATAGAACATATAAATGCGAAATATATTCCTGGATAATCGAGACTTCTATCATTTTACATAATAACACTTAATGAAACACTGGAATATAATCGGGGTTGTCGACGATTGTATAATAAACGCGCGCGTGCACGCGATCAAGAAAAAAGAGAAATCGAACTTCGGGTTCTTTTTAAAAAAAACTATCGGTGTCGTATCGACGATATTTGAAGTAGTAAATGTTCTGTTCGAAAAACGGTAGTTTATATTGCGTGTACATTTCACGAGTTTGTTGCGCCACGACATAAAAAACATTTGTTCGCATACCAGCGTGTCGCTGAAAAATGAAACAGAAAAAAACAGGGGAAAAAAAGATTCCTTTTGGAGACATTAAATAAGGAAATTAAGATGTTACAAATTCTTCATCCTAAAATACTCTAACTTTTCCTTGATTTTCTATCATTTTACAACAAAATTTAATTTTCTTTCAATGTTTTGAAATTTTTTGACCTGATTTAGAGACCGTCAAATATTTTGTTGAGAGAATTATTTATAACGTAGAATGTTAATGTTATTATGTTAATCAATGCTGATGAAATGTAGAATGTTACTATGTTAATCAATGCTGATGATGCTTCTTGTATTTTTAATTATTAAGTTGATATTGAATATTCCTAAATTGCGTAGATGTGATGTAACCATATTAAACGTTTTTTAAAGTAAAAGATATTAATTTTCTAAAAAATTATGCAAAATTTCTTGATATTTCTCTAATTTCTTTGCTTTCCAATTTTGTGGCAACCCTGGAGATGTAGAAATATAATACATTATTTTTTTAAATTTGATTCGAATTTAAAAATTCGAATCAGAAACAAATGGCGATTTTCGAAGAATCAAATCTCAAGTTAATAGACAAAGTCATAGGTGGCTACAATACAGCAGAAATTTAGTTTAATGGCGTATAAATAACAGGATAAAGAAACCAGATCAATTCTAACAAAGTAGTAAGTCGTAAATAAGTCGTAATGATGCGAAGGGAGAGCAAAACTGGAGCAACAGTGGAGCGGTATCGTAAATAACTTAAAGACCAATCAAAACAAGACAGATTGAATAATAAAAAAAAGACGAAGCATCTTATTGACACTTGTTTAGAATTTCTTTCGTCCTATCTAAGAGACTTAACAGCAGAGGAGGAGAGAAAAAGACAGAAAAAGACAGAAAGAGAGAGAACAAGAAAGCGACAGGTCCGATAAAGAATCCGCGAGAACGACAGAGACAGAAGACAAGGGATCACGTGGCGTTAGACAGAGACGGAAACGAGCGCCGCCGGGAGATGCGAGTGAGATGAAGCGTTGTAATCAGAGAGAGAGACAGAGCGATGATCTCGTACATCAAAGAAGCAGAGCGATTGCGTCAAATCACACATACAAGTACGCTTTTCTCATTTATCTCTCCCCTCTCTCTCCTATGTTCGACCAAATCTCATTGAGTTTACGAATTACGATTAACGACATTATCACAAATTTGTTTTTCGTGGCTGAACTAGTATACGCTTTTAAAACTTAAAATGAGATAGATACATGTTTGATACGTTTGACGAAAACAAGAAAGAGAATACTAGTCTAGTGCGGGAATAAAAAAAAAACAGATCACATGTTAACGTCTGTCGTTGAAACGGTACAACCGCAAGTGAAAATTCACGTCATCCTGGATCCATACGGTCGATCCGAAAATAAAGACGCGACTTTCACGCACTCTCTCTTGGTCTCTACATGTCTCTCTTTGTCTCTCTCTTTCTTGCTTGCGCGCGCGCGCAAGCAACTCACCTCCTTTTCTCCTTGTGTTTCTTCTCCTTCTTATGGGTGTCCATGATGAGGCGACGTTACGGTGGACCAAGGGATGATCGCGACGCGCTTCTCCACCAGCAGCACCGGCGCACGAAAACCAGGACACTCTCGGTCACTGCCAAGGAACGTATCCGGGGGCGTGCGCGCGCGCGCGCGCTAACAAGCTCCGCTCTTTTCTAACCGGCCGACTTGACGGAAACTTGGCTCACTGCACTTTGTTCACCGTCTATAAGTCTTTCCGTCTCTGTCACTCCGTAGATCCGTCTCAGCGTCGGTATCGGTGATCGATGCTCGATGTTCGATGCTCGCACGCGACGCGTGTCACTGCTCGACGTCTCGCTGCGCTGTGACGGCTCCGACCGAGAGACAATTCAGACAACGGGCAACGACGCTTTTCAACACTAATTCCGACGGGCGCACGGGCCGCGAGAGTAACGACAAACTCATAGCGTCAACGACCACGACGAACGAGACGTTGTCGCTACCGTGAACGGCTACTGGCGAACGGCGGGACTCTGTTATTATCGCGTTGCGCCTGATAATCCGCGATGATGGTGTCACGACTACATACGCGAGCGGAATGGAAAGACTGTCCGAGGGGCGAGGGGTCATAGGGAGACAGGGGTGGGAGACGTCACGCGGCCAGACTCCGCCATCGGGCGACGTCTGCGAGAAGTAACGAGTGGCCTAGAGCACGCGGCAGATTTGAACAGTCAGAGATTTAACATCTCCGAAAGCTTCTCACGAAATCATGATCAAGGCTCTTCTATAATTAATAGCCAGCAGACTCTTGCATAATGCATAATGCATAGTGCATAAGGGAATCAACCCTGGTGAAAATTTTTCTCATAATTTTTTACGAATTGGAACATTTTTCAGAAATACTCAGAAATATTCGGAAAGTTTAATACAAGTGAATTCTGAAATATTCTGAAATTTCTCATCCCATAATTTTTAAAAAGTATTTTTTAATTTTTTTATATTTTGTAACATTCATCAGAAATTATTTACTTACAAAAAATCTTAAAAATCTTACGATATTTCATAATTATTACATATATGATATATATTACATATATGAAAAATTCTGAGAAGAGATGTAAATTTCCTGATAAATGTTCCAATTCGTATAAAAAATGTGAGAAAGTTACAAAATTATAAAGAAATTCTGAAAAATTATATAGAAATTATATGAAAAATTCTGAGAAAAATTTTCACCAGGGAACCAATCGAAATTCTTCTTTTCTATGAAATGGAAAGAAAGGGAAGATTCTGATTAATTGATTCACTTATACGTTATACGTTATGGTGCATAAAGTATAAGAAAATAAACTAATCTAAATCTTTTATTGTATGAAAAAGTAGGAAATGTGAAGGATTTTCATTGATTCATTTTCTTATACAAGAAATACGTTATGCAAGATTCCGTGCTCTTATTTTTAATAATATTCTGTATTTAACATTTATTCGATTTACTTGTGGAGGATTCCTTCCTACAACACAATCCTCCAAGAGATATCCTAAGGATATCCAGAGGGTATTCTAGAAAATTCTGTGGACATCCTCAGGATATTACTCGAAGAACTATTGTGTAATAGATTGGAAAGAATTGTTTCCGAATGCAGGATAGAGTCAATTTTTTAGAGAAAACCTTTATAATGCATCCCAAAGACATCCCTTAAATAAAGTGTGCCATGAAAAGAAGACAGAGTTAAATGAGGAAAAAGTAGATGTAACTATTAAGATACTTTCCATTTTAGTGTTGTACTTCTTTTTACATTTTCTATATTTAAACTGAAATATATCTGTATTCGCATATTACAAAGAAAAGAGGAAAAAGAATAAAAGTGAAAATTGTAATATAAATTATAAATACAAGAAAAATAAAGTTTTTCTTTCCAAACAGAATTGAAATTCATTCCGAGTTATATTAGTTTGCAAAGAGAATGTATAAGATTTAAATATAGTGAAATTTAATTTGTTATACTACTGTTCTAGCTTTGGTTAGGACTGTTTTGAAACAAATAATCGATGCACTGGAAATTATATAAGTTCACAAGAAATATCATTTGATACAAAGAATTGAATATAGCATTTTTCACTCATGTGTCTACATATAGCAGTAAAGATCTTCTTCGGAGGACCCCGGATTATTTTGAGCCACAATTTTACTTGCTTCAGATTGTTCGCAAACTTAATAGATTCAACTTTAATTGCAAATGTTCTTTCAAAAAATTTATTTTGAACTATACAGGCAACAGGTAAAATTAAGTTTCTTAAAGTAATTAAGATACGTGTGAGAAAAAGACTACTATTGCTAATGCGCCGCGCCTTGACTAGCAACCACCACCTTTCTCTTGTCATCGCTACCCTCCTGTGGCTGCTTCTTCTGTTCCACCTCTTCCCCAATCCCATCGTCTTCCAGGTCGTCTGTCGACATGCCCTTGCTCTCGTACAGAGCCGGGTATTGCGACATACAGCTTTGCATCGTCTCGAACGCAACGCGACAGTCCGAGCCCTTTGGGTCTGCAGTGGAGTAGTGGAAGCAGGAGAAGGCTTCACGGAATTCTAAACCGCATGGCCCAGTCGCCATGCCTCCTAGACACGGGCAGTTCCAATTGATCTCGCCATTGGGCAATAACAGCCCGGGACTGGGTTCCGGTTCAGGAAGACTGATTTTGCTGGGTATTGCATGATCCTCCTTAGACGCGAAGATAATGGTGTCTTTGCCCTCTTTACGTATCAGTGGCATGGCGAAGAATCAAGAGGGACTTCTCCGTGCTGGAACGTCCTACTGTCGGCAGTGAACGACAATAAATTCGGCGAGTACTTTCTACTCAGAGTCAGACTCGCTCGCAGTCGGACGTAACTGTTACGTGGACAGCGTAGGACAAATCTACGCTTTTCAGGAGACAACTTTAGAATGTCTACAGGACTCTTGGCTCCTTCCTCTCCGAACAGCGATCGGACGGCTTCCAAAATGTTCTTCTTGAGATACACAGGAGACACTTTTAGATCGGGATTCGATGGAATTTCTCTACAAATAGAAATAAGCTTTGCTGTATCCTGTATAGTAGATAAGAGTTTTCTAAGCATGCAAATCTCTCGGTTCTCGGCGTCGACGGTCGTCGCGCTCGCTCGACAATGAGATTGAAATTCGAGGGAGTCGCGCGTACAGGTTATGTCATGCAGTGACTAGTCATGATCGCGTCTACGTACGATGAAATAGTGAATGTACTAACAGAGAAACGTCTAAGTAATACATCTTACGATGAAGCACCGACTCGCTGCTCATGTCGACTTCGCGTACCGAGGAGTAGACATCAGAGAAATCCTGGACGGTACTTACACGTGATGCACTGACTTGCACCAATTTGCACGGCGTCTGAGCGGTGCCATCACCTCACGTACTCACGTGCCCTCGCATCTCGCACTCTATCGCACTCTATCGCACTCTCGCAGTGGTGGAGCACAACACTGACAGCAGCGCCAGTGCAGTACTGCCAAACGCGTTTTTCCAAGAATGAAAATCCATGTCTTTCAATTTTCTTCCGAACTTTCTCACAAGAGACATTTTCTTTCTCTCTCTCTCTCTCTATCTCTCTCTCTCTCTCTCTCGCTTCCATGAACCATCTCAGAAATTATTTCATTCCGAGTGCACAAAGTATAAGCGAAGCGCAGTGCGCAATGAAGGGGATTTAAATCCGTCTTTTAACACCACGTCGCGACTCCAATTAGGCGATAATCTCCGATGACAATTACTCCGGACAATGTACATATCCCCCCATTATGTTATATTAGAATTAATCAGAATAACAATAAGTGTACATATTAAAAAAGTAAATGAAAAATATTATTGTATTGTGAGAGAAAAATTCAAGCGGTTTTGATTCGACAATATAGTAATAATAAGTGAGTTATTTGTTTACAAATACAAATTTTCAGACACAAATTCAAATTTATTTCAAGTGTCTCGAAGCGTACGAATAAATAAATGCGTAAACCGTATCCTGTAAACCGTAAAAATTGGACGTTTCACACTCGTCGCTTTCGGAGCGTGTAAACCCGGCATTAGCCGTTCTCGACGATCGACCACGCGTGAGTGCCGGCAAGGCGAGCGTTCATCGGGCGTCGGGAGGGGAGCCCGTCGAGAGTCCCCCAGGAACTCGGCTCTCAGTCGCAGCTCGGCTGTCAGTGCGCGACGATCGAGCCGCGTTCACTTGCCTGCGTTGCGCTTCGCGCATACACACGTACATACACACACCCATACATACATTATATGTAAATGTAAAAAAATACATACATAACACGTACGCACGCACGTTTCACGCGTCCGCACGCAGGCCGTACGCACTACGCACGCCGCGGTGTGTAGGACGTGCCCGACACGTCCATTCGAATTGTAGATCGTACACGCGGACGCGAGGGTGGAAAACGATCGTGGTTTTTGTACATACGCGGTATAAGGGTGCACGTGAGGGAGAGAGAGAGAGAGAGAGAGAGAGCGAGAGAGACGTGTCGAGGAAGAGACGATCTGAGGAGGCGGAACGAACCGGGGGACCCATGCGTCGCACGATATAGACGACGGCGACGGCGCACACACAGATGAGTGCGAGTCGCGACTGAGCGAACCGAACGCGCTGCTACTACGCCCAGTCAGTCAGTCGGACGTCGGCACGGGCCCGACGACACCCCGACGATACTCCAGTGCTGATTACGCGACGGGGTTCCCACGGGTTAGCCTCGCGAGAAGCTGACACGCGGCGCGGGGTGCTGATCCGCGAGCGGGGCGGCGGGCATCGGCGACGACCGGGTTGCGCGACCCGGACCCTCGAGCGATTCGTGACAGTGAAGTGAAGCACGCGTGAGAGGTGGCCGCGAACAAGGAGAGACGAAGAAGACACCGGTTAGTGAGGTAGACGAAGAGAGGGAGAGAGAGAGAGAGAGAGAGAGAGAGAGAGAGAGAGAGAGAGAGAGTAGGGAGAAAGGAAGAGGGCTGCAGAACGGGTGGTCCTGACAGCGAACGGTGACGAGAGAAGACCGACCAACCGACCAACCGACCAACCGACCTGAACGAGCGAGCATTAAACGCCAGGGAGAGTAATAGGGGCCCCCGTACGTAATTGGCACACTAGAATGAGCTTTTTGTCCGAAATAAAAGAAAAAAAGAAACATGCGATAGTATTAATACTATAATACGTTTGCCGCACGCGCTGGACTTGTCTCGGGATCGAGCTTTCCTCGGTGTTGGATATATCCTTTTGGTCCAACCCTTGGCTAAGGCTATACCGCGGCGATGAGCTATATCCTTTTACTCCGACTCGCTCGAGAGTGCTTGAGTCTAGTCGGGGAGTATCGTCGTGGTCGTCACTGACCATCCCAGCAACTTCGTCCCCGTCATCGTCATCGTCATTGTTTTCAACAACGCAAGGACGAATACTTCGAGTACCTACCTACCTCGAGGTAGTCGAAGGCGAGCGGCGAGCGCAATCTCACGCTTTGACGACGGCGAACAAGGGGACGGCGAAACGGGAAAATCAAAACGTTGCTCGAGACGAGCGGAGAAGAGAGCGGACGGAGAAGACCGTCGTCGAGGAAAATCATCGCGAGAGTTTCGCGTCATGAGAGCCTAGCGAGAGCACACCGTGGGTCATCGTGGGTCGTCAGCGTCGAGCGTGCGAGAAGGGACGGCCACGGCGGCGCGCCGGCGGAATTGCCCGGATAGTAGGAGGAGGAGGAGGTACCCGACAACATGGCCGCCGCCTGCTACGAGAAGGAAGTGGTGGTAGGTGCCGCCATTCACCATGGACATGGACACCATCATCACCACCATCACCATCACCATCATCATCACCATCATCTCGGTAACGGAGTCGTCGCGTCGTCCGCCGTCGGCGTCGGCGTCGGCGTCGGTGTCGGCGTCGGCGGGGGGGCCGGGCAGACCGGCCTCCCGGCGGGCGCCCGACGGCT